AAAAATCTCAGTGGATTTGAGAGTTTGTAACCCCTTCCGATTGAGAAAAAAAAACCACGCATCCAGTTGCAGCCTGCCCAGCGAGTGACTCCGTACCTCTGTTCTTGGCACCTCTGCACCCTCCAGCACTTGTCGTTTGTTGATTTGTTGATGATAGCCAGTCTGACAGGTGTGAGATGGTACCTCATTGTTGTTTTGATTTGCATCTCTCAGATGATTAGTGACTTTGAGCATGTTTTCAGATGTCTCTTGGCTTTCTGAATGTCCTCTTTTGAAAAACCGTCGTTTATCTGGTTGTTTGTTTTTAACCCCCTCCCGAGGAGATGTCTCCATTGATTATTTTTTAAATAAATCTTTATTGTTCCAATTATTGCTGTTCCTCTTTTTTTCTCCCCATAGCTTCCCTCTACTTGGTTCCCACCCTACGAAGCTCCATGAGAAAGTGACCCTCGCTCTCTGACCTGCTGCAAGGCCATCCCGCCTCTTCCCATAGGGGTCTGGGACCTCAAAATCCAGCCCCACAAAAATCTCAGTGGATTTGAGAGTTTGTAACCCCTTCCGATTGAGAAAAAAAAACCACGCATCCAGTTGCAGCCTGCCCAGCGAGTGACTCCGTACCTCTGTTCTTGGCACCTCTGCACCTCCTACTCAGTCTCAATGCGCTTCTTTTTTTTTTTTCCTTCCAGTTGTAGAACTTCCACTGGGCCAGCTTTCCCATGGTTCTGAATGATAGCTGTTTGTCTTATAGTTGGTAGTTTCAATGTTGTCCATTGATTTTTGGAGAATGGAAGAGAGAGGGAAAGGCAGGGAAATATCCATGTGAGAGAAACACATGGATTGGCCCTGACCAGGGTCGGGGCTGGACAGGCCTGCAACTGAGGTAGAATCCAATCCTAGACCTTTCAATCTGCAGGCCCAGGTTCTATCCACTGAGCCAAACCAGCTAGGGCTGAGCATGTCTTTTTGAAAAGAAAGAAAAAAAGAAAAGACCCTAAAATTAGATAGTGGTAATTGTTAGATTGTTACAACTCTAAAAATAATAGTAAACACTGAATTGTATATTTTAAAAGGGTGGATTTTATAGTATGTGAATTATATCTCAATAAAGCTGCTATTAAAAATAAAAGAAAGAAAAAGGGGAAAAAAGAAAGCTAAGAAAGCAATGGTGAATAAGACAGGAAACAGTCTCCACTTTCGTGGAACTTACATAGATTTACATCAAACTGCTAATGTTTCTCCTGTTTTCTTATAACTTTATCACCAGCTCAAAATGGAAACTGTTGGAAACTTAAAACCCCTTTTGCTAAATTGTGTTAAAGTGTATAAGTGATGGGCAAACAGAATTTGTGTTATGAAAATCTGCTTTCAAACCAGTTTTTCAAGGGTAGATTCTTTCCTATTCTATTGTCAATCCTGAATGAGGACTAAGTCATTCATTCATTCATTCATTCATTCATCTTTAAATTGGTTTTAATGCTCTGGAGCTTACATTCTAGAGACAGACAATAAACAAACAAAAATTTGTCAGGTGATAAGGAGTGCTATGAATGAAGGGAAAATAAAGTAGAATGTGAAGAATAGGGAGTGCAGGGGTTGGGACTAATCCCAGGCCTTAGGGAAGGTCCCTCAGCTATGTTGAATTTACATAAGACTTGAAGGAAGTGAAGATTTGGAAAAGAACAGCATTTTTGGCAGAGGGAACAGCAAGCCCAAAGTCCTTGAGGCAGAATTGTCCCTGGGATGTTTAAGGAACACCAGGGAAGTCTGTGTAGCTGGAACAGAGTTAATAAGGGAGAGAATTATAGATGAGATCAGAGGATTGATGGGAGAAACAGGGCAGATTAATGGTGATGTCTAAGTCCATCATAAGGACTTTTACTGGAGAGTTTTAAGCATGTGAGTGTCACTATTTGACTTACATTTTAATAGGATCCAGTAGATCACAAGTGGGTAAGGTGGAAGCAAAGAAAAACTGTTAAGAGCCTTTTGTAATAACCCAGGCAAGAGAAGACAGTGGCTTGAACCACAGTAGTAGTGGAGATGATATAAGTGGAAGGACCATAAATATGTCCTGGAAGTGGAGCCACCAGGGTTTGGAAAATATCTTATATAATAAAAGCCTAATATGCAAATCAAACGAATAGCAGAATGACCAGTGGAGCTACCGATTGCTATGACGCACATTGACCACTAGGGGACATATGCTTAACGCAGGAGCTGCCCCAGCCCAAAGGCCCCAGGTCAGCCAACATGGGTGCCAGTGGGGGCCCCCCAATCGCCCTGCTGGTCACCCCACAGAGCGAGGTCACCGGCGGTGGCGGTGGTAGGGTGATTGGGGGTGGGGGCTGGCCAGCGAGGGAGCCAGTGCTGGCCCCAGATCACCCCACCGGAGCGAGAGGCACCAGGCTGGCCAAGGTGGGTACCATTTCCCCCCGCCCGCCCCCCGATCACCTTGCTGGTCGCTCGACAGATCGGCCCTGATTGCCAGCCAGGCCTAGGGACCCTACCCATGCACAAATTTTGTGCATTGGGCCTCTAGTATGAGATATAATATATCTAAATATATAATGCACATGGACACAGACAATAGGGTGGTGACGGCCTGGGGCAGGGAAGGTTAGGAGAGGTTAATGGTGGGGAAAGGGACATTTGTAATACTTTCAATATAAAGATTTTTTAAAAATTTTAAATAAAGATACAATGCAATTTTATATGTTATATATGTGAAATATAACAACATAGTAACTTTGAATTTGGCATTCTAAATACTTCTTGTACATTATCTCATTTTTCTTCTTTGTCAGATAACCCAAGTATCTATGTTACTATATTACTCCAAGTATACAGATATAGAACACCTAAGTAATGGGTTGGCATGCCCAAATTTAAGACACATTATGTCTTACTCTCATTCTAAACTTATTTTCTTTTCATATACCATGCCCAACTGCATCAACACCATCATCTGAAAGTATGTTACACATGCTGTAAAAAAATTACATAAATGGATGGGTATTACTTCCAATTTTAGGGACTTTCAAACATAAAAATTGTCTTGTGCAATCTTCAAAATGGTATGAGTAAGTGGTATAAAATAGTGATGGTGAAAGTGTTTTCAAAAGATGACTCTTCAAGAAAAATAGGTTATTTGTCATTTTTGGCCTATCATGATTGGGTTTTTACTATCAACTCACATAGATTTGTAGGCATTTGCAAGTTAAATTTTCATAAGAATGAGCTCTTCTCTGGCATGTTTTACATATGTCTTTGAAGCTCACCAACCTGGGTTCATATTCTAGCTCTGCTGCATGTGTGATGCTGGGCATGTCCTCACTGTACAACAAAGACAATGATAGCACCTACTTCATTAGGTTTTTGGAGATTACATAGTGTGCTCACCATAAACACTCAATAAATAATATCTTCTATCACCATCTTCAAGTTAGCAGAGTCTGTTTGTGTAGGTGAATCTTCAAATCTTTGTTTCCACCCAATGCACAAACAACCATTCATTGCAGTTAATTAGTTTTTAAAAAATCATTTGACCTAGTACAGACAAAGCACCAGTTATCTGGTAGATTTTCTTCCCCCCACTGCCTTTCAATAGATTATTTTTTACCTTATATAGGAATAGACAATGGAAAAGAACTTTTTTTCCCCCTTCCAGCAGTGTTTTCTCTCTTTGTGAAAATTGCTACCAATAGGAATTATCGCTTAAACAGCAAGGGATGGCTCTCCTCTTTCAGGGCAACCCCTGCTTGTTCTGGACATTAACAGCCCGCTGACTAGGTAGCAATGGAAACAGGTCAGTGTACTGCTTAGCGTTTGAATTTGAGGCTTTCTCTCACTTCACTAAATAGTAGAAAGGTGCTACAGCAAAGCCAACTCAACTGTTTATCGTTGGAAGTGGAGTTCTTGAGGTGCCATCGGGAAAAAAATTTCCTGAGGCCCCCCAAGGGAGGTTGGGGTATTGTGGAAAGTTTTATTGATGATGTAAAATTAAGGGCCAAAACGGGTTTGGCTCAGTGGATAGAGCGTCGGCCTGCGGACTGAAAGATCCCGGGTTCAATTCCGGTCAAGGGCATGTACCTGGGTTTCGGGCACATCCCCAGTAGGAGATGTGCAGGAGGCAGCTGGTCAATGTTTCTCTCTCATCGATGTTTCTGACTCTCTATCTCTCTCCCTTCCTCTCTGTAAAAAATCAATAAAATATATTAAAAAAAAATTAAGGGGGTTCCCCTCCAAGGTCCCATCTCTGTCTGTCTCAACACGGAAGAAGTCCAATCTCCTCGTCAGCAGGGCTAGAATTAAGGCCACTGCCCAGAATTTCTCCTCCATATTAAACTCCAGTCTAGTCCAGGATTCTGCTAGCTTACCTTGTGTTCCCAGCTGCAGTCCATTGCATGGGGGGTCCGCATGGCCATGGGCCATGCTGCTGCATAAGGCCACATGGCAGGAAAGTACATGGTGGGCAAGTGTGGGTCATGGAGAAAGAGAGTGAGAGGGAAGGGAACAAGGGGCACAAGAGAGAGGGAACTCTTTGTTTGGGGATTTTACCCTTCAAAGATTCTGTGAGCTTGCACTGGGGCCCACCTCCTTAGCCAGTGATATTTTCCCAGGTGAGACAGACAGGCAAGCACCTTCCTTACAGGTGCTTTTTTTTTTTTTCACCACCAGCATCCCCTTTAATAAAACGTGGAAGGTTGTATGACAGGGAAAGGGGAGTGAAATATGACCATTTACAACCACACAAAAACCTCTGTACATGTCTAGTGCCTGGCAGAGGGGAGGGCAGCAGGGCAGCGGCGGGCAGAGCCAGCCCTCTTTGTAGAGGATGTCGTAGTGTCCAGGCCGGTAGAGAAGGTAGACCTTGGGCTCGGAGCCCTCGGGGAAGATGTGCGGGTTGGTGGTGGTGCCCTCGCCGCGGTCCATGTACTCCACCTGGATGGAGACGTTGAGGGCCTGGGCCAGCGCGACGTTGTGGATGTGATCGCTCTCCTTGCACATGGGCTCCACCTCCTGCAGCAGGGGTGCAGGTCAGGGCCTGGGTCTCAGCACCCCTCCCCCCGCCCCCTCTGACCCCAGGGCACTCCCCCAGGCCCCGGTGCTCCCCACCCTGAGAGGAAAGAAAAGGGAGGGCCCTGAATCTGAGAAGTGAGGCGAGGGTGGCACCTGCTGGCAGAACTCCTTGACAGTCCGCCCACCCTCAATGAAGTGCTCGAAGAACTTGCTCTCCCGCTGCAGGTAGCCAGAGGTGAGCAGCCGCAGGTAGACCACCAGGTAGTCCGAGGTGCTCTGGTCGTGGAAGGAAGCCAGCAGGTCGGCTACTGAGGTCTGCTTCTCCACCTGCTCGATCAGGTCCATTAACGTGTTGTGGAAGTCCTCAATTGTGAACTCGGTGAAGCCCTGGGACACCAGGTCTTCTTTGCTCTTGGCAGACACAGCCTTGAACCTCTGCAACTCCTTGCTGTCATCCAGCAGCGCCTCCAGGTGGGAGAAGCCGAAGGCTCGGTAGAAATAGCTCCCTTCGGGCCTGGTCTTGCAGATGTACGAGTACTTTTTGTGGAGGTCCTTGATCTTCTGTTGGTAGATATTGTCGTCCTCAGCATACTCCCTGTACAGGACCGAGAGCTCCAGCTGCTCCGAGACCAGGACTTTACTGCCATGCACCCATCTCCCCCTTTGCTCAATCCCTTCCTCCAGTGATCTGCGAGGAATGGGTGGGTGGTCCTCAAGAGAGCATGAAGCTATAAGTTCCTGGTGAAGCTGCCCAGATGACCATGCTTATAATGTGTGGCCTCCCCATTGCTCATTTTCTATTATTCATATTAATAAACTAATTATATGATAACACATTCATTGCAAAAACAAACAGAAAACCCCACAACATATCTCAGCTTCAAGAAAGCTTTGCTTTCTGCCCATTTTTCCTTGAAAGGATGATTTCAAACAAATTCACTTTTACTATGAAAATAAAGAAAGCTTATTTTGCCCTTTGACTCATGTGTTCTGTGGATTTCTTAAACAAATTCAATCTATAGCTACCATCTCTCTTCTTTGCCCTGGCCCATGGTGTGGCTCAGTTGGTTGGGTGTCACAGGAGGTTTTCAGTTTGATTCTGGGTCAAGGTCACATGCCTGGTTGTGGGCTCAATCCCCTGTAGGGGTTGTGCCAATCAATGTTGTGATTTCACCTCTCTCTCCCTCTCTCTTTCTCTCCTTTCCCTTTCTCTTTCTAAAAATCAATAAACTGTTCTTTAAAAAAAAGAAGAAGAATGCCACTCTTTAATGGGTTGTACCTTATAATCAATGTTTCATGCTAGGGAGAGGAAATAGCAACCATTCTGAATGATAAGTTTAATCCCAAACATCAGCCTTTGAGTCAGAAAATGTCCCATCTTTCAAACTTATGGAAGTAAGGATGAATGTCATTTCTTAAGAAATCTCACCTTAAGTCTTTGTTCTTCACTTCTCTGCATCTTTTCCCCAAAAGCAAAATCTCAGCTTGACAAATTTCTCACTTGGAAACTGTTCATTCACAGTATTTACAACTTGTTTTCAGGATAAACTACTGTACCCCTGACATAAGTATTTGTTACATAAAAATAATGCTGAATGATTTCTTGTTTTTTAAAAGGAAGATATGTGCAATGTAGGCATTTAATCACAGAGAATTCTGAAAGAGAAATCACTCCACCTGAATACTTGTAAGCAAACAATGCAATCTTGCACTTACTATTCTTCTACTTGCTTGAAAGTGATGATTTATTAAAGACAATGTAAGGGAAGAGTTCATATCTATGCTAAACACTTGCTAAAATCAGAGATGACTCTCCCCTGGCCCCTTTTTAAACTAAATCTAATTTCAGTATTTTAAATAAATTATAGGAAAAAGTTTAAAAATGCAAAAAAACACAGACACGTAAAAAGAATTTTTAATACCTATTTATTCTCTAACCAAAACAAAAATGACTACACTAGTTTTAGACATCTGCTGGTAGAAGTTCTTCATTTTTTCTATGTTTAATCATATATAGCGCTCCCCACAGTCTACATAAAAGGTGAACACAGTGCTTCTTACAAACAAAAAACCCACAACATATCTCAGCTTCAGGTTTCTTGTGGCTGCATTGCTCTGTCATCCTCCTGCTTCTCTTTGGAGATCAGCTCTCTCCACTCCCTATAATTTGGGCTGGAACATGGAGTTTCCCTGTACTGGTTCTCCCCTGCTCCAAAGGTGTAAAGCATTCTGGTCCTTTTTTAAAACGTCTGATGGAGAAAAGACGGGCAATGATGACATCTAATCATAGTTGTTTTACCTCCATTAGGAAGGGTTGAACAGGTGGGTTCCCCTCTATTCTTTAGTACGAATATTAGTATTTACAATAGTTCCAATATTTAGACAATGTTAGCATTAGAAAAATTTATATTAATATTAGAGTAAGTAGTAGTGTTCTCCAACCAGAAATCCCATATTGTCTTTATGTGAGTAAGAAGTAAATTACTATTTAGTTGAGGCACTGAGGTTTGAGGATTTATCTGTTACAGAACATTTTATACTCTAACATAGTAATTGGTATCCAAACTATACATTAAGAGCCACTAGAAGAGATCGGAGTTGTAAGAAGAAGGACCATAGGTCCCTGAATGATTAAGTGGAAGGCCACTGACCAATCAGAGCACCCAAATGGGCCTTATGTAGCTAGAAATAAACTTCTACTGGTTAAACCGCTGCAGGGCATCTATTGAACCACTGGATTTTATCTATTAGAGCCGCTGACATTACTTCCCCTAACTAACCAAGGTTGCTGTATGATCTACAGTCTCTTTTTGGCTGAATTGCCCTGCCATTCTCCTGCTTCTCCTTGGAAATTGGCTGGAACATGGAGCTTCCCTGAAGTCAACTCCAGCCTTGACTGTACATGACCCTTTAGTTCAAATACCCATAGTCATCAAACTGACCCAGCTCTCATTGTCACAAGTCCAACTTCTCAAAAGCCAAATTCTAATTGACCCATCTAGAATTGGGAATCCACAACTTGTCTTATGAGCTGTGCTACAGCCACAGTGGTATGTTCCGGGGCTATGAACATAACATTATCTCAAATAAAAGCACTGTGGATGAGAAAATAATGATTGCCACATTTATGACAGAGGCCACCTTTGCATCTGTTACACAGGAGCCCACACCCAGACACTTACCTCCCTGAAACCTTCTTTCAAATTTATTCCTACAAAGAACATGGCCTCAAATGGGACATATGTTTCCTGTTATATACTCTAAGTCAGGGGTCCTCAAACTTTTTAAACAGGGGGCCAGTTCATTGTCCCTTAGACCGTTGGAGGGCCGGACTATAGTTTAAAAAAAAACAACTATGAACAAATTCCTATGCACACAGCAGTGGCAAAAACACCCGGCAGGCCGGATAAATGTTTTCGGTGGGCAGCATGTGGCCCGCAGGCCGTAGTTTGAGGACCCCTGCTCTAAGTTCTGGTTTCTTAAGTCCAGTTGGATAAATGGCCCCAGGAAATAGTGATCCCTTCAGAGAAAACCCTCACTCTATTTATAGGTTGCGATATTTCCCCAACATCTGCAACACATTAACCAAATATGGATTCAACACAGTAACCCTAACATCACAAAAGAAGTATAGGTAGAGTAACAAGCAGGGCAGATGTTTTAATCATTGTGAATCACTCTTAATTGCCTTTGATCACTCATTCCTTCTAGTGTCCTTAGTTAAGACTTGAAAAATTATATTTACACTCTACTCAGTTTTAATAAGAATTATTGACTGGGACCATTATTATTTCTCCTGCATCTTCCACTGAAGGATGACTGAGGGCTTGAAATAGCAGAACTCCTGCATGGACAATAATCCAATATCTATAGGGAAATTTCATGCACCTGTAACAGGGAGTATGACTTCTGAACTCCCATACAGCTAGCCATGAGAACAGGGAACAAATATTGAGTTCTTTTTGGGCATCAAGATGATCTGTAAACCTATTTTGGAGTTCTAAAGGGATTTGAGGAAATGCTTAAGAGGTATCTGCCACTGCCTCTGGTATTGAGTGCAAGACTGAGGCAAAGGAAAGAAGTAAAAAGAAAAGGGCAGGAGAAACCAAGATGGCGGCATAGGTTAACACCAGAGATTGCTGCCTTGAACAACCAATTCAAATTACACCTAAAAGACGGAACGGACATCATCCAGAACCACAGGGAGGCTGGCTGAGTGGAAATTCTACAACTAGGAGGAAAGAGAATATCATACCCAGACTCAGAG